ATGGCTTCAATAATGAGTGTATTATGGAGCTACAAGAACAAAAGATATTTAAAAAGCTCTCCGTTCTAATGCTACGTCGACTTATCGCGGCAGCCTTAGAAATGAGATACATGTCTCTGGAAACTCTCTGTATTGCGTCACGTGTCGGTCCTTTAAAATGTTTGGATAATGCGTGTTGCGTGCCCCCTTTGGTGGAATAAGAACATAAGAAATTTACAAACGAGAGGGGGCCATTCGACCCATCAAGCTCATTTGGGGAGAACTTAATAGCTCACAGTTGTTAAAATCTTATCTAGCTCTGACTTAAAGTTTTAGCTTGCACTACACTAGCAGGAAGACTATTCCATACTCTCACTACACATTGTGTGAAGAAATGCTTTCTCAAAATCATTTTAAAACGTTCTCCCGCTAATTTCCACCTATGGCCACGAGTTCTAGTATTTAAACTAATATTAAAGTAGCCATTTGGCTGAACAGCATCCAGACCTGTTAGGATCTTATATACCTGGATCATGTCCCCCCTTAGTCTCCAGACTCTTATTGTTTCATAACTTGCATACAGGCTTGCTTATGTCCTGTGTTGTACACCGTCTTCATTTGACACAAAGCCGAAGTATTTCCAGACATCATTCTGTCTACACTCTTTATGAATTAGGCGCAGTGGTGAAGACTCTGACAACACGGAGTGTGAGACCGCACTCAGGTCTAGGTATACGCATTGGTAGCCTATGATCTTCAGTAGTCAAAGCAAACCGTATGTGTAGGCTGTAGAATCGATACCATGAAAAATGTGCAATGAAACTGTTTTATACACGATAGAATCAATACTTTTGATACTTTTGACAACACTAAATGGTTTTTGTTCATGACCAGAGAGGATATTGCTGGTGTAATCTGTAGAGTTTAATTTAGGTGAAATTATTTCTTATATTAATGCTAATAAAAGGTTTTTTTATATATATATAGTGACACAAGTTTACAAAACGTTGAAAACAACATTGCAATTTAAATACATGTTTAAATTCAGTTAAATTATATACTGTATTGAGTATCGAAAATGGTATCAAATTTCAATACTTTTTCGGTAATGAATCAAAGTTTGAAATTTTGTTATCTTGAGAACACTACAACCACTGGTTAAAAGCATGGATGATAGATCCTTTATATATAGGCCTATGCTAATTCCTACGATCATGTCTCCTTGTATTAGACATATTATTCCAGCTGGAAGACCAAGGAAATGTTTTTGCAAGGCAGGGTTGGGCCTTGAAAACAAGCCTTGCGGGTGGAAACAACGGCAGTATTTGTGTGTATTTAGTGTAATATAGGGTCTGCTGACTAATACCTACGCCTTCTTGCATCAGGAACGGCATATATTATGTAAAGGGATTTTTTTAACGTCTTTTCCAGACTGTGTGAAATCTAAACGAAGTTTCTGAGAAATTATACGCATATGTTCAGGTGAGATTTCTGCACACCGTGTCGCTGTTCTCTAAACGACCAGAAACATTTGTAGCGGGTGGGAAGCCTGAGGAGCTCAACCTGCGCAAGCCGCCATATTTCATTGCATCATGATATTTCGTTCTTCACATCGAATTATCTAGCGTAAACACCACGGACATTTTCTGTCTACTAAAACAACTTTGGACTACCTATTGCGTTGTCTTGTCTTTTACTAAAACAATGGCATCGCATCTTAAAGTGAAAGGTGAATGGTACGTTCCTGTTTTCTACTTATTTTTCGCAATATGGAGCGGCGTTTTTGCTGTGACTCGTTACTCTATTCCGGAGGAAATGAAAGAAGGTTCTGTTGTGGCGAATTTAGCTGCTGACCTTGGACTCAATGTTAACAGTCTGGCTGAACGTAAGGTAAAACTCGATATTTTACACAGCAGGAAATATTTAGACGTTAACAAAGAAACTGGAGAACTGTATATTGTAGAGAAAATAGACAGAGAATATATTTGCATCATGAAAATCTCATCGTGCTTACTTAAAATGGATGTTATATTAGAAAAACCTGAGCGAATATTTTATTTTGAACTTGAAATATTAGATATTAACGACAATGCACCTCATTTTCGGAGAGAGACAATGCATTTAGATATTTTGGAATCAGCAGTAGCTGGAGAAAGATTCTCTCTCACGAATGCGGTTGATCCAGATATGGGATCAAATTCAATTAAAACATACTATATAAGTGAAAGTGAGAATTTCAGTCTAGATATCCAGACGGGAAGTGATGGATCGAAATACGCGAATCTGGTTTTAAAGAAGTCTTTGGACCGGGAGAAACAGGCTGTACATAATCTGATACTCACTGCTGTAGACGGCGGAGTCCCTGCGCGATCCGGTACCACCAGCATCATTGTTCGCGTACAGGATGTGAATGACAACGCCCCTCAGTTTGATCGCCAAATTTACTATGTTAACATTTCTGAAAATTCACCTATTGGAACCCCTGTTATGAAGCTAAATGCTACGGACTTAGACGAAGGTACAAACGCAGAAATCATATACTCTTTTACGCTTTACACATCTGAAAAAACGCAAGATTTGTTTTCTTTGAATTCCAATACAGGTGAATTAAAAGTAAAAGGCATTATAGATTTTGAGGACATAAAAACACTGGAGATGCATATTCAGGCTCATGATAAAGGAACTAATCAACTATCAGGGCAGTGTACAGTAGTTGTTTTTGTTAATGATGTTAATGACAATCATCCAGGAATCACAATTACATCACTGAAAGGCACAGTGAAGGAGAACGTGCCTGTAGGTACAGTAATAGCCCTCATAAGCATTAGTGACAGAGACTCAGGAGATAATGGTGTAGTTGACATTATAATAAATGGGAAGTTGCCTTTTGCACTGAACAAGTCATCAGATAATGATTTTACTCTAGTTGTTTCAGAACCTTTGGATAGGGAGAAAGTTCCTGAGTATGACATCACTTTCATTGTCACTGACAGAGGTGCGCCTCCTTTGTCTGATAATGAAACAATTACTTTGGAGCTCCTGGACATTAATGACAATGC